TGGACAGTGGTAGAAAGAATACCAGGCTAGCGGAAAATCATCAAAATAGACCGAAGCAGCAACCGCTTCTTTAATTCCTCCCACGACATAATTTTCCCTTCATCGTGTGTAACTGTTGACCCTCCTGCACGAACAGCTGTTGGCATCTCTTAGCGCTGCATGCAGATGTAACTTTAAAGTTTTCATGATGATGCACCGAAATGTTGGCCTTTCAGGGGGATGAGGAAAAGCAACAAGGCCTGAAACCTGTTCAGCTGATGGATCGCGACCTGAGCCATCTTCTGCCAGACGATCAGGTGAGTGAAAACTCCTTCAATGTTGTTTTGTTTTAATTCCCCGCAAGTAGGCTTTCAGATGCAATTTCTACACCTTTAAATGTTACGCAGCTTTTATAGTTAAGAGTTGCACCAATAGTTGCACTTCGTGACACAATTTTAGAAAATGACTTTCTCCGATAGTCATGATGAACACTGTCTCACGTGCCCAGGGTTGACGTTAAAAATGACCTTCTGATGTTAGCAATAGCGGCTTTTATGGAGACGGCTGACCACTGACCTAATAGCTAAATATTCTGGATGAGAGGAACTACTGATAGCTGAGCTCCGGTGTCCACCAGAAAAATTCTGCGACTGACGCTGTCCCAGGCATAAAAGCTGTGACCAGGGCCGGAAGTGCCAGAGAAAACAGCCGCGTCTATTCTCTGGTTGGCGAGTTTCTCGATTTAGGCTTGAAGGAAGAGGGAGAAGAACATTTACGTGCCTTTGGATCAAAATTCGTGTAGTACCTCAACTGTTCTTGGTCGCGAGCGAGAGCGACAACCGCTGGATGAGCGATGACCCGCAAGACGGGAAAGTTGAAGTTTTAGAGAGGGCAGCTGGTCCGTCAAGGCTGAAACCTGCTGCAAAAGTTGTTTATTCACTGACAAAGATACAGAGATTGGGGAAATGCAGGGTGGCTGGAAGCGTTGCACTTCAATCATACTGTCCGTCATTTCCGCCAGCTTCGAGACCATTAGATCATCGGACCCGGATGCCAGGATCGTTTGGACATCGGTTGGGAGACGCTCTAAAAACACCGCCCTGAACAACTTGTCATCGGTCCTTCGTTCTCCAAGATGGGATTGCACGCGACGAAGAATTTCAGAAGGTTTCCTATAGCCAAGAGTTTCTTCTTTCATCAGCTGGTGATAGCCCTGACGGCCGGCCACATAATTTATGCGAAGTAGCTCCTTTTTGAGTGTTGTGTACGGGGCATCGGTTGGGGTCTTGGACAACAGTGACTGGACTTCCGCGATAACACTAGGTGGAAGGATTTCCACGGGTTTGTGTTATCTATCCAGCTCCTTTGTAATATTTTCGGAATAAAAGGCAGATTTTATACGGATGAAGTAAAGTTCTGGCGCATTCTGCCACAAAGCAGGCAGAATGAAGTGAACGGCTTGAAGAGAGGGAGAGTTCTCATCAGGTTGTCGGGCATGATGGGACTAAGGAATCAAAAGTGTTCTAAAGTCGCAAAAGTGTTAAAAGGGGTAATATTGAACAAACAGCCACAACCGTAATAAGTGTCGGCAAGT